GGTCCAAGGGATCTGATGCCCTCTTCTGGCCTCCATGGGCACTGCACAACGTGGGTTACATACATGCAAACAAAACACTCATACACATAAAAAATAATAAAATATTAAACAATAACAAAACAAGTGATAAGTGTATATGTTTCTTATTGCAATCATTGTAGATTCATAGTCAACTGTGTGAAATACAGAGAGATCCTTTGTACTTGCCAAGTTTCTCTTATTGATAACAATTTTGGCCAATTGTAACATATTACATTGACATTGAGAGTATTTGCACAAATCTCCCTTGTTTTATTTGTATGTATGTGTTTTAGTTCTCCACAATTTTATCATCTTTCTATATATTGGTATATCCAACACCAGTCAAAATTGTGAATAGTTCAGCAGTTCTGTGATTACACTCATCTCTTCCACATTTCTCCCAACTGATTGACAGACTTATTTTCTTATCTCTCTGTGAGTGTGTATGTGTGTGAGTGCCCACTTTTCAGTCAATGTTGGAGGTAGGAGGACAACTTTGAGTGTTGGTCCCTGTGTCCACCTTTTTTGAGATAGGGTCTCTGGATCTACATTGTGTACGTCAGGTTAGCTGGCCCAAGAACTTCTGAGGATTCTTCTGTCTCTGCCTCCCATCTCTCAGTAGGAGAATTGGGATCACAGATGAGTGCTATTGCTTCCAGCTTTATGTGGGTTCTGGGACTCTCAATTTAGATACTCAGTACTTGCATGGCAAGTACTTCACCCACTGAGCCATCTTTCCAGCTCTACATTGGTTATTTAGTTTTGTTTTAGTTGCATTTCTAAAATTACAGTAGCAAATAACAGAATTTACCATTGTAGCCATTTTAAACATGTTTTTTTTTGCATGCATATGTGTGTGTTCACATGTGTGCAGGTGCATGTACATGTGCATGTGGTGTGAGGTTGACATGGGGAGTCTTCTTCAATCTTTCTCTACCTTATTTGTTGAGACAGGGTCTCTCAACAGAACTTGCCAGTATGGACTAGCCTAGCTAGCCAGCTTGCTCTAGAAATCTATTCTCCAAATTTCCGAGTACTGGAATTATAGGTGGGCCATCACACCCACTTGGCATTTATGTGGGTTCTGGGGATCTGAACTATAGTCCTCATGCTTGGATGCCAAGCACTTTATTCACTGAATCTACCATCTCTCCAGCACTGTCTTAGCCATGGTATTTATTTACAGTTTTTTGTTATCATTACGTGTATGGTGTGTATGAATGTGAGCATATGTGTGCCATGGTTTGGTGTGTATGTGGAGGAGAGAGGCCAACTTTTTGGGGAGTCACCTCTCCTCTCCACTCCCCTTTCTTGATACCAGATCTCACTGTGTAGCCCTGACTGCCTTGGAACTTACTGTGTAGACCAGGCTGGTTTTGAACTCACAGAATTCTACCTGCCTCTGTCTCCTGAGCTCTGGGATTGAAGGTGTGAGCCACCACACCCAGCATTCTGCCTTGTTTTGAGGCAGGGTCTCTGGTTTCTGCAATGCTGCATCCTGCAGGCTAGCTAGGCCTCAAGCTTCCCACCTTTTTTGCTATCTTTGCCTCCTATCTGCTATAGGAGTACTGGGATTGCAGAGGCACACCACCACATCTGGGTTTTTTATGTCAGGCTTTTACAGCAGGCAGGTTTACCTGTTAAGGCATCTTACCAGCCTACCATTTTATTTATTTACTTTTAAATAATATTTTCATTTATTCTTTGAAAATTTAATACATGTACACAATATATTTTGATCATATTCACCCTCCACTGTCTCCTTCCAAGTCCCTCCAGGATTCCCTAACCTGTTTCCTTCCTGACTTCATGCCTTTTTTATTATCATTATTAATAACCCTGTGTGGTCATATGCATATGGGTATGGGACCATCCACCAGGGCATGGACAACCTACTAGCAGCCACATGCCCAAAGAAGTGTGACTTTTCCTCCTTTAGCAGCCAGCAGTTGACAGTAGCTCCTCTACTGGGAGTGGGGCCTTGGGAACCCTTCCCCATCCTTGCTGGAATTTTGACTGGCTTAATTTGGTATAGCTACTGTGAATTCATGTGTAACAGCCATGTCATGTCTAGAAGATAGTATCTCACAGCTTTTCTCCCCACCATCTGGCTCTTAAATTCTTCCTCCCCCCTCCTCTGAGATGTCCCGGAAATGATATAGAATGGCACGTTTGTAGCTGAGTACTCACTTATTCTCAGCACTATGACCAGTTGTGAGTCTCTGTATTAACCACTGCCCACTGCAAAAAGCTTTCCTGACAAAGATTGAGAGCAACACAAATCTATAGGTATAAATGTAAATGTTTAGAAGGCTATTTGGTAGCATGACCATTTAGCAAGACAGCATCAGGTAAGTTTCTTCCTAGGGCCTATGATCTCCCCAGTCATGGACTTTTGAGTAGGCTACAGTACCAGACATGAAATCCTTCTTGTGGAACAGGCCCCAACTCCAATCAGAAAGTGATTGGTTACAGTCATAACCATCATGCCACTATTGCACCAGTGGGCACAACTTTCCTAACAAGTTGGTTTTGTAGATGCAGGATCCAGTGCTGAGTAAGACCATTGTTGCTTTTTTTTTTTCTCTTCCTAGCAGCCTGCGTAATACCTTTCAACATGAAAGGTATGAAAACTAGTAGCAGGGAGAGAATTTTCTGGTAAGTTTGAGGTTGATTTCTCAAAGACCTGCAATCAAAGTGGGTGGTGTCTTCAGCAATAAGGTCTTACCATTTAATTATGGTTGGCCTAGCATTTAAAAATATGTAGTTCATGGGGTGGAGAGATGACTCAATGGTTAAGAGCATTGGCTGTTCTGGGTTCAAATCCCAGCCATCCATAATTCCAGTTCTAGGGGATCTGATGCCCTCTTCTTTCCTTTGTGGGCATTGCATGACATGGATACACTTACATACATGGGGGCATAACACTCATACACATAAAATAAAAATAAAGTGTACAATTCAGTAGTAGTGTTATGCAGCCAATCTCCAGAACGTGTTATCTTGTATAATTGTTTTCACTAAACATCTTCCTTTTTAACCAACCCCTGGCAACTATTATACTATGTGTTTCTGTGTATTTTAGATACTTTTTACAAATGGAATTAGGTATTATTTGTCTTTTGGGGAACTAGCCTGTTTAATATAAGGTTGATGGTCATCCACATTGTTGCATCTATGAGACTGCATAGTACTGTACCACTTTTTGTTTAGCTGTTCATAGGTGAACGGACATTTGACTTAGTTTCCAACCTCTAGGCTATTGTGAATAATGCTACTGTGAAAGTGAATGTAAGTTTCTTCAAGACCCTGCTTTCAGCTTATTTTGCTATGTACTCAGAAGTGGAATGGCTGGATTATAATAGGAATTCTATTTTTAATTATTTGAGGAACTACCAAACTTTTTCATAGTGCCTGTACCATTTTTCACATTTTGAAATCCCAATACTCTACAAAGGTTCGATATTCTCTACATTTTTGGCAATATTTGTCATTGTATAGCCTGCTTGATAGTAGCCTTCCTTACAACAGAAGTGATACCAATGTTATGATCCCGATTTAATGATTGGTGATAACGAACATCTTTTCATTACTTCATGGCCATTCATCTTTTTGAGAGAAATGTGTGTTCAAACCCTGTGTCCAATGTGTGTGTCACCCTGTAGCCCCAGCTGGCCTAGAACTCACTGTGTAGGTCAGACTGGCCTCAGTCTCACAGAGATCCATCTACCTCTGCCTCCTGAGTGCTGGTATTAAAGGCATGACCTACCATGTCCAGCTTGTGTCCATTTATTGAGTTTTTTGTTGTTTAGTTTAGGATTTTTGTATAAGTTCTGGATATCAATCATTTACAAATGTTTTCTCCCACACATTTTTATTCTGTTGGTAGCATCCATTGAAGTACATGTAAAAGTTTTTAATGAGGCTTAGTTTGTGCCTCCATTCCTGGGGAGATATCAACAAACATCTGGTCATCCCAGACAGAGAGGGAGCTGGTGACAGACCAAAGGATACCACTAAAGTCCAACTTTATTGGTGTTAGGTACAGGAGTGTAGAGGAGGGATTACTTACAAGAGCCAGAACAACTCAAAGGCATTTTATATCACTAAAAACCCAACCCAGCATAGCTGACAGCTCACAAAAGCTGGAACCCTGGAGCAATTGCATAGCTTGCAGTTGGAGAGGGGTCTCTTCCAGGCAGCTCAGTTGGTCTGAGCCTTTTCCATGAAGTTTAGCTGGTCTCAACAAGCCTTACTGCTTATTGAAGCTTGAGGAAGAAGGGGTCTAGTGGATCTAGTCAGTTTCAGGAAGTTCCTGAAGCTATTGAATTACTTTCTGAGTTTTAAGGTGCTTCCTCTTCAGGATGGACATGTTTCACCTCCCTTTAGAACATCCTGAGTCTTAGGAGCTTCCCTTTAAGATGGAATGCTTTGCTTTGGAGGAAATTGCTACATAGTATGTGAAGTATAGATTTATAGGGCTGCTTTGAGGAACCAAAAGCTTAACAAGGAAAGGGAGGGCCCTGTGCTATAGCCTGCGTTGGACCTGCTTCATAACAGCCAGTCAGAAAGGATGGAGAGTGCTCTTTCTGTGTAGGCTATGGCCAAGTACAGACCCATAGGGAGATGTTTACTGGTATAGATTAGTGTCCCTTCGGAAGAACTTGTGACTTGAGTTTTTGATGCAGACAGTTCATAGTCTTTATATATGCATGGCCCTGGAAAGAGCCCAGAAGGGCAATGGCCATCATTCTGTGATGGCATGCTTTGTCTAACTGTTGCTTTGAGAGTTTCAGCAATTTAAGTCTAAACTAAATTAGATTTCTTCATTCTTACAGGTAGTTTTATATGTAGCCTGTTTTGTCCTAGGTGCAGAGATTAGAAATGTTACTTCAGTAATCAATATTTTAAAGTTTAGAATTTGTTGTTCTTCTCCATAGAATAAAAGTGAAGCTACATGTGTTTCCCTTTGTTTCTAGGCAAGCCGATATTTTCAGTTGATATTCATCCTGACGGGACCAAGTTTGCAACTGGAGGACAAGGTATGTTTATAGAGGGAACATCACTACCCTGCTGCCATGCTCTGCTTCCCCTGGTGACCCATGGTTACCTATAAAGAGAGAACTTGCTGGTTTGTAGTATGGCTGTGACTCAGTTTAGAATGCACTATTTGAATAGGGTAAATCATAGCACCCCCCTTTTAAAAAAGAAAACCAAAACAACAACAACAACAAAACCTGGGCATGGTGGCATAGGCCTGTTATCCCAGCACTTGGGAGGCAAGGAAGACCATGAATTCTAGGCGAACCTAAGCTCAAAATGAAACTTCACATGAAAGAAAAGAAAAAGAATAACTTTCTTGGCTTTAGGATCATCTGTATAAATATTGTAATAGCAGGCTTATGATTGTAATTACTGTTTACTGAAATAAAGTTAGGATGAATTTTGTATCCCTACACCCAGCTTACTAGATGTAGACTGGCAGGAGGCCCCCTGGACAAAGCCCAGTCCCAGAGGTAAGGATTCTGTCACTGCTTTCTTCATCTGAAAAAGGGAGTGGATGGTTAAACTAAGTCATGTATTAGGGCCATTTTCTGGACAAAGGAATTTGACTGGATTAGAGAGAAAGTAAGAATGCTCACAGGCTTTGAAAATATCATTCATAGTATTGTCAGCATGCTTCATTTAGTATCTGCTGAAATACTGAGATAACATGGCTCTGTTTGGAAAGACTACAAGGGATTAAAGGCATGTGCCACCGTGCCCGGCTCCAGGATTTCATACTTTTTTCTTTTAAACTTTTAAAAATAATTGTACTTGTTATTTTTATTTTATGTGTATGCATGTATTGCCTGCATGTAGGTAAGTGCACTCATGTCATGCAATGCCCATGGAGGTCAGAAGAGGCTGTCGGATCCCCTGGGACTAGAGTTAGGGACAGTTGTTAGCTGCCATGTGGGTGCTGGGATTCAAACCTGGGTCTTCTGCAGGAACAACCAGTATTCTTAACTGCTGAGCCATCACTCCAGCCCTGGATTTCATACTTTTAAAATAATATTCTTTGGGCTGGAATGATGGCTCAATGGTTAAGAACACTTGGTGTTCTTCCACAGGACCCTTGTTTGATTCCCAGCACCCATGTAGAGACTAATTCACTCCACTTCCAGGGGATGTGGCACCCTCTTCTGGCCTCTGTGGGCATTGCATGCACATGGTGCACTTGTATACATTGAGGCAAAACACTCATACATATAAAATAAAAATAAATAGGGGCTGAAGAGATGGCTCAGTGGTTAAGAACACTGGTTGTTGTTGCAGAAGACCCGGGTTTGAATCCCAGTACCCACATGGCAACTCCAGTCCCAGGGGATCCAACAGTCTCTTCTGTCCTCCGTGCGCATTGCACGACACAGATGTACTTACTTACATGCAGGCAATACATGCATACACATAAAATAAAAATAAATAAAATTATAAAACCTGTGGGTTTTAATTAATTGGGGCCATTAAATATTATTAAAAAATAAAAATAAAAAATATTAAAAAATAATATTCTTATCGATTCTTAACTACACCAATTTTCAAGCCAGGAAACCAAGATTGTGTTAGTAGTGGTAAGAAGTAGCATTCTCTCGAGAGACTCCCGGTCCCCCCAAGTGCCATAGGATGGGCTCACAGTGTGCCCCTTTGCCCAGAGGCAGGAAGCAAGAAGGCAGTGCAGGGAAGTTGTGACTAAGAAGGCTTTTTTCCTCAGGTCTAGGTAAGATCTTTAGGAAATGTTTTACATACTGGCCAGGAGGAGGTTTCAAGCATTTTGTCATTACTTTGGCATATCCATTTCTAGACAGTCAGAGATTTTTTTTATGACTTTTATTATCATAGCAATGGAAGACAGATTAGAGAAATCATTAGTAAAATGTCCTGATAGACTTTTCAGCACAGCTATGCATCAGCTTATGACCCTCAGTTTCCTTTTTTGGTGATCTTCATCTATAGGTGACTGCAAAGGGCAGTTAAGAAGATAATGACCCCTTTTTCCTGTGTTAGGGTAGATTTCAAATTTGGGTTTCAAAGCGTCCAGTCAGTTCTGTTAACAGCCACCAGATCCAGGCAGCATCTTGAAAGGGAGGGAAACCCTGGTAGGGACTGCTCTTTTCTCCTTTTCCTCAGTGCACGTGCACCGAAAGGGGCCTGGACAGCGACTTTCCTTCGAAGTTCTTTGATTTGTGGAGTCTGAGCATTCTGGACAGGGACAAGGACCTGGAACACTGGAGGCCAGACAGGAGCTAGAGCTCCTATGCCCTCTTAGTTTGTAGTCCAGAAGTTTTTTTTTTCATAAAGACAGGCTGGCCTCAGCTACTGTTAAATCCACTCTCCTTTGGGTCTCCTTAGGTCCTTGTTTTTCCTCACCTTTTGTGTCATTTGTAATTAGTAATTCAAGATAAGTCTGCTTACATCTAGTTAATTAGTCAACTATGATTTATAGTTGAATATAGTTGCTATGGAATATCAAATGTCTACTCCTTGCATATTGAGCTGTTTCTGCTTCTTCATTTTCAGGGCAGGATTCTGGGAAGGTTGTGATCTGGAATATGTCTCCAGTCCTCCAGGAGGATGACGAGAAGGATGAAAATATTCCCAAGATGCTTTGCCAGATGGACAATCATTTAGGTATTACAGAGTGGCCCTTTGCAGGCTTTGCGTGTTGGCAGAGTGCCCAAGGTTAGCACATGTGTTTGTAATTAGAAAGATAAGGCCCCGTGCGGCGTTAACTCCCCTCGGCCTGCTGTCTGAAGGCACAGATGTTGGCTGCACACCTGGGTGAGTTATTCGGCAGAAGACTCGGCCCGCCCACAGAACCATCTTTGGACAGTCTGCAGGTACCTCTGGTGATTTCCTGCTCATGAGTCGTTACTGCCTGATTCCATGGGGCTTTGGGGCCAGTGACCTGGACACAGTAGGGTTCTGGGGAAGGGCGCATAAGAGACAACTCACCAAAACCTCTCAGATTGGTACTGTGTCACTCAGAGGTTCTCTGCCAGGACCCTTCAGACTGTTGAACAGTGTCATGGTTTCCTTTCCTGTTGTATGTAATGCCTTAGTGTCCCATTAACAGTTGCCAACATTTGGATATCAGCCCCTTCCTCTGCTCTGTGTGTTCTTGTCTTCCCAACATGCCTTTCAGAGTTCTTGGGCCTAGAGCACAAGTTACTCATAGGCCACATGTTGGCTTCAACTTTGTTAGTGCCCATAGTATTTTATATCTCCCAAAGTTTGAGCTCTGTGTGCTCTTGGAGGCTCTAATGTAGCAGAGGGCTGGGGGAGATTTCTGCTTGACAGAATCAATCTCCTGTGCTGACAAATTTGCAAAGTCCAAATTTAAAAGGGCTAACTCTGGCAAGTCAGGTTAAGTCATAGCTTTATATTCTACCTAGCTGTTTCCCTGAAAGTTCTGGAAAAAGCATCTTGGCCTTTTTAGTACGTTTCATTTTGAGAATAATCTTTATTCAGAAATGCATCTCATCAGTAGTCAGCCCTTCTGAAATAATGAGATTTATCACTTTTCATGGAAATAAGCCTCCTGTTGTCTGTTTCATTCAACACAATTCTCAGATAATGCATATTTCCCCCTTTAGACTGTTCTGGTAATTTGTTATAGTACAAGTTAGTGCTTAACTAATTGTTTCTCTGGGACTCTTACTCAGTAGGTACCTTCAGTAGATAAGATGGTTTTATAAACCTTTTACATCTTGCCAGACTCTGCATAATGCAAATGGGCATAACTATTGGATTTTCATCACCCTATTTTTTTTTCTTCCCAGCATGTGTGAACTGTGTGCGGTGGTCAAACAGTGGGATGTATTTAGCTTCTGGGGGAGATGACAAACTGATTATGGTGTGGAAGCGGGCTACGTAAGCATCATTTTCCTTTCTTCACATTTAATTTTTAGAAGCTTCTTTGCTGGTCTATATTAAAGTCACCTTTCCTTTTCTGGCACTGAAGTCCAACTTCATAAGTAGAAGTTCTCATAGGTCAGAAACAGATGAAATCTGACCAGGAAATTAGGAGGCTATCAACCTGCCTGCTGATCCCTTGTAGGGACACATAATTTCAGCTGTCCCTTGTAGCTGCCCCTTGTAGGGACACATAATTTCAGCTGTCCCTTGTAGCTGCCCCTTGTAGGGACACATAATTTCCAATTGAGAAGGAAGGGTTAATCCTTGTAGGTGTTAATATTGTGGCTTCATTTGTTCTTCAGATGAAATTTCACATGGAACCTTCACATACATTCAAAATGGCTAAAAAAAGTCAAGGTGATCTTAAAGAGTCAGGACTGGGAATCCAGACCACACTTTCTTTGCCACTCACCTCATTTTGTGGCAACCTTGCCTGTGGTACCTCCCCGCTCTGCACCCAAAATGAGCTATGCATTATCTGAGTAATTTTTTCTTTACTCCTAATCAGAGTCTCCCAGGGTGGGTCCTGGTACTATGTCCCACAAGCTTTCCATGTGACTCTGGGCCATGCAGATGGGTCACCCAGATCTGGTATCATTATTCAGCCAGAGTAACTCTATGACTGTGATTTTGAGAGTAGAGGCATGCTGTCTTCTTGGGCCCAGTTGATTGCCTCACAAGTTCTCTCTGGATAACACAGAGTTTTATGAGAGCAAAGGATGATCACAGAAACTCTGGGCATTGGTGGTGTCCACTTTGATGTGACTGCAAATCTGGAAGGAGTGACTTTTGTGATTTTTCTGCCTTGGTTGTTAAGGCAGGGCCATTTAATTCATTATGATTATGTTGATTTGAGTCAGACATAGTGGCTGCTATTGGTGGCCCAGCTACTCAGGAGGGACTAGTTTGAACCCAGGGCTCAGGAGTTTAAGACTAGCCTAGGTAACATAGTGAGTGAGACCTTGCCTCCAAAAAAAATGCAGTCGATAAGTCTACTTTTTTTTTTTTTTTAAAAGACAGGGTCTCATATATGTAGCCCAGGCCCTTGGATGATACTCCTGCCTCTACCTCCTGAGTGCTGGGTTTACAGGTATGCGCCACCATGCCTAGGTATTTATTTATTGTATCCCTACTTTAAATAGCCAACATAAATAGCATATTTAGTATACAATTTAGACATGTAAAAGATAAAATTCTCTCACAATCCCACTACCTAAAGAAAACCATGGTTAAGATTTTGGTGTTTTCTTTATATCCTTTTGCCCTATTCCATGTGTATAATGTTCATGTTATATGTATTTTTTGCTTTGCATAAGTTGATCATATTGTCTGCTTCTTTTATTTAGTCCATTGTGAACATTTTCCTGTGCAAGATTTGTAATGGCTGCATAGCATTTCATCAACTGTATGAATCATAAATTACTTGTGCTGCACCTTTTGTTTAACAACCTGGTGCTTTCAGCCATTGTCTGGTTTTGTGTTTTCTGTTTGTCATAAGCTATGCTACAGGGAACATCTCTGAACAGTACCTGGAGCACGCTATGAGTGCATGTCTCACGCCTCTTTCGCATAGGTACATCGGGCCCAGCACTGTGTTTGGTTCCAGTGGTAAACTTGCCAATGTGGAGCAGTGGCGGTGTGTTTCCATCCTTCGGAGTCATTCAGGTGGTAAGTGGGCTACCTGTTGGGGTGAATGGGTCTCTGGCAGCTGCCTCAGATCATCGTTAGCATCTCCACATCCCTTTGTTACTTTGGTCCTTAAAATACTATTTGGGCTGTCCCTATCACCACCTGATCCCTTACTTGTTCCTTAAGGTCTGTCTGTGCAATCACTGGCTCAACTGCCTGCCTTCACCCAGATTCAGTCCCTAATACCCACCCTCATGACATATATGTGTATGTGTTTGACATAGAGGTCCTTGCCTTCTGTTGTTTATCCTGCAATACCTTCATCATTGGATCACTAAGTACATAAACATATTTTGTGAATGAAACCGGTCTACAGGTGCCTATTGGAAAATTTCTTTTCTTGTTTATTTATTTGTTTGTTTGTTTATTTATTGTGTACCACCATGCATATGTAAAGGTCAGAGGATAACTTCTCTGAGTTGGTTCGCTCCTACCATATGGGTCCTGGGTATTGAACTAAGGGTCATCAGGCTTGGCAGCAAACACTTTTACCCACTGAGCAAATTCACAGGCAACAGTGGAAACATTTTGGACCCGATCTTGAGTATGTTTTAAATCATTTGGAAAGGGTTTTACAGATTTAGGCTGAAGAGGAGGATTAGTCTATAACAGCATAAAGCCCATGCACTTTAGGTACCAGATACCAGGATCCAGGCATATGCAATTTAGACTTTTAGGAAGGCCTAGCAGGGACTGAGGATAACGAGGGCCAAAGACTGAATTGAGTCTGAGCACTGTGTTAGAGGACTCCTCTCTCCCTCTACAGCTAACTAGGTCTTTAAGGGCATAACAGGAAACAGCACAAGTAAGTCTAGCCAAGTATACAGGGCCAGGTCTTGGAAGGTTTGTGTGTCCCATTGGTGAGTTCCTCCTCATCATGAAAGAAATATGAACCATTCATTAGGGGCTTTGAAGCTTGAGAGAGGTTGATCTGACAGCTCTGGGGAAAGGGAGCTTATTTCAGTGGTTCAAACTGAAGTTGTAAGGGCCTGAACTGGGCTGGTGGTCATTGAGAAGGAAAGGAAAGAATAGGAGAAAAATAGGAGACCACTTTTGAGAACATGTAGGAGGAATGGTATAGATTTCTGCCTGGGTGCTTACGTGGACAGCAGTGCCCTCTACTGATACCATAAGGCCAAGAGACTCATGAGAGTGGACCCTAGCCTAGACCATTAGAATTTCTAGAAGACAGGTTAGAGGTATAGGTTATCCTTTACTAGCAGTATATACTCAGAAAATCTCTGTAAGTTGTAGTGTGAATAAACTTACCCCTTTTTATAGAAGATTTATTTTTGTGTCCATGTGTCGGTCTTTTGAGGGTATATACATGTGAGTGTATAGCACCCTCAGAAGCCTGAAGAGGATGTCAGATTCCCTGAAGTTGGAGTTATAGGTAGGTGATGCCTGACATAGATGCTACAAATTGAACTTGGGTCCTCTGCTAAAGCAGTACACACTTGTAACTGCTGAGCCATCCCTCCAGCTCCCAAAAGAAGACATGAATTTTTTTTCTTCAAGACAGGGTCTCTCCATGTAGCCCTGGCTAGACTGGAACTCGCTATTTAGACTAGGCAGGCCTTGTTGAAATCTGTCTGCCTGTGCTTCCCATTGTTGGGATTAAAGGCATGCACCATACACCAGCTAAACTCACGTATTGATGATCACAGATTCTGCCCACAGTTGTCAAAAACAAAGTTGTCACCTTGTATTATTGTTTGATAACAAAAACATGTCATTTGTCTTTACCACTTTTATAGCAATTTATAGGAGTCTAGTTGGGCTTCTCTGGAACTTGGCATACATATATAAGAGGGTGTTAAAGAATTAAGTGGGTTGTCAAGTAAGGATTATTATGGGGCCCCTGAGCTATAATGTCAGCGTCTCTCCTGTGCCCACCCTAGAGTCTCCTTTACCAGGCAAGTTGGGTTGGCTGCTTTCAACTAGCAGACTTAATACTTCTTCACTGTTCTTGCTAGCAGGTCTGGGCAGAACTGTTCAAGAACTGCCAGTGAAAAACAGAGATAAATGATTATGAGGGCACTGGGGTTTTGAAAAGCAAAAGGTGAAAAATATATATTTGGTGTATTTAACTAGAGGTGAAAAGAAGAAAAAGTAGACAAAATGAGCAGTGAAGATCTAGAAAAATATTTAACCATTAAGCTAAAAACAAACCCCTGTTTTTTTTAAACATTTATTTTTATTTTACATGTATAAGTGTTTTGCCTACATGCATATAAGTGCATCACATACCTTTGGAGGTCAGAAGTAGGCATTGGAGCCCCTGGAACTGGAGTTACAGACAGTTGTTAGCTGCTATGTGGGTGCTGGGAATTGAACCTAGGTCCTCTGTAAGAGCAATCAGTGTACTTAATTGCTAAGCCATTTCTTAGCCCCTTACTTTTCATTTTGAGATATACTCACTAAGTTGCCCAGATTGGGCTTGAACTTACTCTGTAAGGTCATTCTAGCCTTGAATTTATGGTGTTCCTGCCTCAGTTTCCCTCATAGCTGAGATTACTAGCCTGTCAGTAGGTCCAGTTCTAAATTATTTGTTGATATATTGTTTCAAGTTTTCTAAGAAAAATTATACAGAACATAGAAATATTCTTCAAAGGAAGACAGAACCCTTGGTTTCCAAAAACCTAATAGAAAATAACAATGAAATAAAACATAGCCTGAATAAAAATAGAAATATCAATAACAGTACTAAGTGATATGATAATATTTAAATGTTATTCACGATTAAATTTGACCCATATAGAAGAATATTAAGTAAAAGGAAACCCATTACTATAACCTGCCGGTAGGTTTAAATGACTTATGCCTCATAATCATCTTAGGTATTCTAAGAGGAATACTAGGTAATTAGCCATCAATCTTTAATAACAAATCCTTTCAAAAAATGCCCACAGAAAGATGTTCTTTAACAGGGAATTCTGTGTCTTTAAAACTAATGGCAAGCTGAGCATGGTGGTACATGCCTATGATCCCGGTACTCAGGAAGCTGAGACAGGAAGATTCTGAGTTTGAGGTCAGCTGGGAGCCTATAGCAAGACCCTAAGAAAACAGCAACAAAAAGAAGGCAAAATTATAGTTTATAGTTTAATTCAGTTCTCTTTTACATTGAGAAAAGATAAAGATGTATCCTGCTGTGTATTTTGTTACTCTGGAATTTCAGTATACAGTTAAGTAGAAATTAGAAGAGGGTAAACATGCCCAAAAGACTAACATGAAGGTGGCATCATCTCATATCCAAAAGGAAAGCAGTAAGACCCTTAGAACAAATAAACTACCAAGAAACACTAAAAACTAAGATAACTCATTCAGTTGGCCTCATCTGAAAACAGTGTATATTTTATTAGTAGTAGCGAATCATATCCAATGATTTAAAAAGTCTCATACACTATAAAATAAAAAATTGTCAATACTCAGGAATAATTTTACCAAGAAATATATATCTCTGACTTAAACCACAAACGTTAAAACAAAAGCAAAAACAAAAACAAGAAATCTTCATGTGCCTTGTATGTTAGACAAGTACCTTGCCTCTGACCTGCAAACCCAGGTGCTTTTCTTTCTCTTTTATTTTTTCTTTTTAAGAAATGGAGTCTTGGGGCTGGAGAGATGACTCAGCAGTTAAGAGCACTGGTTGTGCTTGCAAAGGACCAGAGTTTGAATCCCAGCACCCACACCTTTTGTAACTCCTCTGTGCCCTCTTCTGGTCACTGTGGGCACTGCATGACACAGTGCACTTACATGCATGCAGGCAAAATGCTCATACTCAATAAAATAAAAAAAATAAAATAAAATAGTGTATACTTACTATTGTGCAACCACACACATGTTACCGTCATGGCCAGCTCATAGAGGTCTTTGAAAAATAGTCTATAGGACCCTGGGCAGTGTCATACACCTGTAATCTCAGCACTGAGGAGGTTGAGGTAGAAGAATATCGAGTTCAAGACCAGCATGAAAATTAGTGTTCAGTATTAATTTAGGTCTGTTTAAAGTAATGAAGGGTCTCAGTGATACAGAATGTAGAGTAAAACAAAAGTTGAGAAGAGCTAGGCAGTGTATAAATATAGCATGCTGGTGTACACAGTGTGGCCATCAAACATTGCAAAGTTCTATCAAGCTGTCACTGAAGCACAAAATAGACAAAGCTGCAATGGAAATTTTGAGCATTTTTCTTACACCTTTAAAAAAATTTTCTAGTTGTGGGCTGGAGAGATGGCTTAGCCATTGAGAGCACTGACTGCTCTTGTAGAGGACCTGGGTTTGAGTCCCAGCACCCACATGGTGGCTAACAACTGTGTGTGACTCCAGCTCCAAGGGAATTTGGCACTCTCTTCTGACCTCCATGGGCATTGGATGACACAGGTATACTTATATAGATGCAGACAATACACTCATACACATACAAATTTTAAGAATAAATAGAATGTTTTTTAATAGAATATTTAAAACATATTTTATTTATTATTTTTATTTTATGTGTGGCTTCTGATTCCCCTGGAACTGGAGTTAAGGACGGTTCATAACTGCCATATGGGTGTTAGGAATAGAACCCGGGTCTTCTGCAAGAGCAGTCAGTGCTCTTAACCGCAGAGCCATCTCTCCAGCCCCAATTTATTTTTATTTTATGTATATGAGTGTTTTGCCTGCATATATATAAGTTCGCCACCACATGCATGTAGTGCCCTTGGAGGCCAAAAGAGGGCTTTGGATTCTTTGGAGCTGGAGTTACAGATGGTTGTTAGCTGCCATGTGGGTGCTAGGAACTGAAGCCTCTTCTGTCCTCTTCAGGCATTGCACATTACAGGTGCACTTACCTACATGCAGGCAGTACACTCATACACATAAAATAAAAATAATAAATAAAATACTTAAAAAATCGCCAGGTGTAGTGGCGCACACCTATAGTCCCAGCACTTGGGAGGCAGAGGCAGGCAGATCTCTGTGAGTTCAAGGCCAGCCTGCTCTACATAGTGAGTTCCAAGACAGCTCGGGCTACAGGGAGACCCTGTCTGAAAAAGACCAAAAAAATCAACTTTCTGGTGGCAATCAATTGTACCAGGCACTGATGTCAGAAAAACATGTATCATACTCTTTATATTAGGTCATTGTCATCATCACAGCTGACCTTTATCAGTTCCTTGATGTGTACCTAGCATTGTTCTACTGTACTTTCTCACATTTCATACTCACAATAACTTTAGGAAGATTGGATTTCCTTTTTAATCACTACTTTACAGATGAGAAAACTGAGTCACAAAGAAATGAGGGTTAATAAGCTGGTCATGGTGGCTCATACCAATAATTCCAGTACTTGGAAGGTGGAGGCAGGATGATCAGGAATTTGAGGTCTTATCATCCTTGGCTATATATCTAGGCTAGCCTGAGCTACATGAGACCTTGCCTTGAAAAATAAGGAAGGAAAGAAAGGAAAGTAAGAAATGAGCATTAATTGATTCTTTCTGATGCTTAATAGGGAAAGTATATTCCTGGTAGATCTATAGATTGGGAGCAGGAGCTAAGCCTGCATGACAGGCAGGTAGTCAGTTGCTTTTGATTGCTTTCCCATTGTGGCTCATCTAGTACAGAGAAGGTTCTGGAGAAGGCCCAGTCTGGACTATAGAAACAAGTTAGCAAGGTGAGAAGTAGGTCTGAGGTCACAAAAGCAGGAAATGTTAGATTATGACTCTAATACATGGGCCTGAGGTCAAATTGCCCACAAGCTGCATCCTCAGTTGCTTTGTCTATGTGAGGCATAGACAATGTAGGGGACAGTGGTCAATTTAGTGCTTGAAATTCAGTGCCCACTGAAAAACCTAAGTGAGGGATATTTTTCAGATTGGTCACAAAAAGTAGTTATGATGGTCTCAGGTCCTCTTCCATGAGAATCCCAGGGACGACTGACGCAGCCAATAGGTGAGGCTGCTGCTAAGTGCCTACCATCACCAATTGCATGCCAAGTAAGAAATCTCACAGCAAGCACCTCGTCTTCTTCTAGATGTCATGGATGTAGCATGGTCTCCACATGATGCCTGGCTAGCCTCATGCAGCGTGGATAACACTGTCGTCATTTGGAATGCCGTGAAGTTCCCAGGTCTGGGGTCCTCCCTGCTGGTTAACAGTACAACTGCTGCTAACAGTAATGCCTGCCCTGTGTGTGGAGCAGGGTGGGGATGGGAAATGGGTTGTCTATCTTCTTCATTTTGATCATAGCAAATTAAGTAGTCCAGAATTTGTATGTCTTGCCAGTAACCCTGTTTATCTTTTCATTATCAACAACATTTTGTTAAGATTTAGAAAGATTTATGTAAAAGAAAAAGTAACTGAGTGCTAGCATGAGTGTTTCACAGTTCATGAAGGTGGTATGTGGACAGCTGGCATTGAGAGTGCTGGCACTTCACACATGTGTGTACCTTCTTCCATTGGGTTCTGGCCTCAGTTCAGTTGCCATCTCTGTGAAACCCTCCAGCAGATGTAGGCTACCACAAAATCAACTTTGCAGATTATCTTTCTTGTTCCTTGCATTTAAAGTCATGGGAGAGAGATTGTGCAATCTGGTGTAATGTTATACTTTATGACTAGTATAATGCTTGTCATATTCTCACTGGGTATCTGGGATACATTTTCCTCGTGGGCTAAAACACATCATCCACTAAATGTGTCCAAGTCATTTTAATTCCCATTGAAAGCAACTACGAGCATGTATGGGGACACTTCTTCTGGCCATAGAAGGGGAAGTTTTAGAGAGTGGCGTAGCATTGATTACAGATCTGTATGAGGTGCTTCTGTATTGTTTTCAGCAGTGAATTATAAACAACACACTTGAGCTGATAGGCCTGCTGCCCCTGGGGGCTGCTCAGGAAGCTCACATTAGAATTGCTCAAAGATGCCACATCTGCGTCTGCTATAGATAACATGTATAACATGTATAACAGAATTGGCAGCTTTAGCTCCTGCCTATACCCTTGTTGATGTCCCTTGGGGGCTTGTGTGATCTTTTCATGTATTAGCTGGTGCTGGCCTACATGATGCAGCTATTTCTTCAGTTTACTTTTGCCTTGGTGGAGGTGAAGTAGGGGATTCTTCTGCTTATGCCCAGGGGTGGAGATTGGCCAGGGTGGAACGCTTAGGTTCCCTCTCTTGGGTATCCATTGCATGGCCCATTGCAATTCATGTTTTCTATATAGTGTCATTGTTCTCCTAGATAAGACTGTTCAAATTTCATCTTTTTTTTCCTTCCCCACAGAAATTCTTGCTACTCTGAGAGGTCATTCTGGCTTGGTGAAAGGGTTGACTTGGGACCCTGTTGGTAAATACATTGCCTCTCAAGCTGATGATCGAAGCTTGAAGGTATGGAGGACGTTGGACTGGCAGTTAGAGACCAGCATCACTAAACCTTTTGATGAGGTAACCCAGAACTTGGTCTCATATTCTGCCTTACCTCCTTGAACAAAGAGGGAGCTGCCATGTTCCAGACTATATGGAAGCATGCAGTCTAGGGACCTGAGCAGATACTTCAGCTTTAAGAGTTAATGGTTAAAACCTTTCCTTTCTGAGTCAGTGGTGTTCAGTGTCCAGCTTTGAAATGAATAAATACTTTGCTTTATTTTAAAAAATTTTAATATTTTAGTTAGCATACAGTGTATTAGGTTCATTTTGGCATTTTTGAACATAATTTGTTTTTGTTGGTCCTCCTCCCTGCCTCCTCATTCCCATGCCTTCCCATGTACCCTTTTACCCTGATAGCCTCCTTTCTGCTTCCATGTCACGTGTGTTCTCTTGCTCTCTCCTTCAACAGCTCTTTTAACTTTCGTGGTTCCTTTTGTATACTCACCCATCTCTCCAGCCCCTTGAATACTTTTAAAAGTATTTATTGGCCATTTTTTTTCTTCTTTTGAGAACTGGATCTCATTAGTCATTTATTGATTGGCTGTTTTGGTTTTGGGCATTTAATTTTTATAGTCCTTTTTAAAAATAATTTTTAAAAATATTTATTATTTTTATTTTATGTGTATGTGTGTATTGCCTGTGTGTAGGTAAGTGAACCCATGTCATGCAATGCCTGCAGAAGACAGAAGAGACTGATCCCCTGGAACTGGAGCTTTGCACAGTTGTTAGCTGCCATGTGGGTACTGGGATTCAAACCCAGGTCTTCTGCAAGAACAACCAGTGTTCTTAACCACTGAGCCAATAAAAAAGATTATTCTTTGATAATTTCATACATATATGTGTATATATACATACATGCATACAGACACACACACACACATATAAAAATGTGTTTTGATCATATTCTACTCATTTCCCCTTATCTCCTTCCCACTTCCTCTGGAGCCCTTCTTCCCAACACTCCTCTTTCCCACCTTTATGTTTTTTGTTAAACATAAAGCCCATTGAGTTAAACTAGGGTTGTTTGCATGTGCATAGGTATGGGATTACTTACTGGATCATGAGTGCCTTACCAATGGCTACATCCCTGAATAAAATGACCCTCCCTCCCCCAGCAGCCTTTGTAGTCCTAGGTATTAATCCTCTGTCTGAATTACAGCTTGTCAAAGATTTTCTCCTGTTTGCTGTGTTGATAATTGCCTTTGCTGTGCAGAAACTTTTTAATTCCCTTATTAATTCTTGGGGCTGTTTCCTGTGCTATTAAAGTACTGATTGATAGATTTTAGAGTTGAGAACCTTAGAGCTGTCCCAATGCCATTATGTACCCAATTCATGAGTGAAACCATTTCTTATTTTGGGGAGTTGCCACTTCTTGTTTTGAGGAGTTACATTGAGTCACTCTATTGAATGGCCACAAGGAGGAGTCTCTTTAGGTTGATTACTGGTTGTACTTTTGCTTTTGTTTATTGAGATTCCCTCTGCAGGTCTGATGGTTTCTTTCTTAGGAAGAGTTAGTACAGTTTGCCTAATGTGGAGAGAGATTAGACTGCAATAACTTCTGTACTATTTTACCGTTTCTTCCTTTGAGTTCTGATTTCATACAGAATCAGTTAAAGATGACTGTTATTCATTAGACATTTATTAAGTGCCTTCTGTATGTAAAGCATCATTGGATACAGGCAAATAAAAATGGATTCCGTTGCTATCTGTCCCCTTGATGTTTATTGCCCGGTTAGAAAGACAAGACATTCCCATGAGCTGTAAACACGGTGAAGTTGGTGTCAGAGTACAGAAACAGCCCAGGAAAGGGGTTTCGTGGGAAAGCTTCTCAGAGCTTGAGACACAGGAGTGAAGATTTCCAGGAACAATAAGTATTTGCCCACTGGTTAGGGTTAGCTAAAGTAAGAAAATGAAAATTATGTACTCAGTTCTTCTTAAATCAACACTAGCTACTGGTCTAGGCCTGTAATTAAGGCCAGATCTGACCTTCCTTCTTTTTACCTTCTCATAGCCACATGGTATAGGTGTTATGACTGTCATACCTGCTAGAATTTCTCAAGGCTTTGTTGCCAGGCACAGGGAGCCTGTGAGCTGGTTCCTAGACTGGCTGCAGGAGAGTCCTGAATGCCAACGGGGCCTGGTAGCACTCTGTAACCTCTAGTGGCCGTCCTGCCCAGGGGGCATGAGATTTCCCCACTGGGCCTTGCTCTGCTCCATGGTACTCTGGGACTGTAAAATAAATTTTTTTTTTAAAGACAGATTCTCACTGTTTAGCCCTCCCTGACCTGAAACTCATTATGTAGACCAGGCTGGCAAACTCAATAGAGAGCCACTTGCCTGTGCCTCTAGAGTACTGTGATTAAAAGCATGTGCCGCCATGCCTGGCATGAAATAAGGTCTTACCCAGGGTCCTGAGGGCTGATTTAGGGTGACCTTGAGTGTGGCTTTGGCCCCATGTCATCTTATATTGAAGGAGTGATCCTGTGAAGGGATACCTACCTCAGCCCTAAGGCCAGCTCAATACTAGTACCTTTCCACTGTATCTTTTATAGTATGTAAGGACTGTATAGTCTTCCCCCCCCCCCCCTGTCTTTTTTAAACAGTCTCCCAGTAGCCCTGGCTCAGGGGGACTGTGAGGCCTGGAACTTACTATGTAGACCAGGCTGGCCTCGAACTCACAGAGATCTGCCTGCCTCTGCCTCCCAAGTGCTGGGACTATAGGCGTGCACCACCATGTCCGGCCAAGGACCGTATAAACCTTTTACTTCTTCACAGGGGTCTTCACCATTCTTTGGGAGACTAGGCAACCTCACAAGAAAGGGTAGTGCATCATTGTCACCTACTGTGCTGCAGATAAGGGTTTCTGTTTGGCTCTTGGCTGTTGGCAGGACTTTCTCTGCTGCAGTATTTCCTTTCTTCCTTTCCTTTCCTTTTCCTTTCTCCTTTTTCCCTTTCTCTCCTTTTCCATTTCCCTCCCCTCCCCTCCCCTTTTGGATTTTTGAGACAGGGTCTCCCTGTAGCCCCAGCTGTCCTGGAACTCGCTATGTAGATCGGGCTGGCCTTGATCTCACAGAGATCCGCCTGCCTCTTGATTATGGAGGACAGGGATTAAAGGCAGTGCTCCACCATGGCCAGCTGTTGAGTATTTCTTGAGGATACTATGTAGACACCGTATGCTGGAGCTAACAGGTTCTAGCTGTGCAGAAGCAGCAGATCCATGCCAGATAGATTTGGCCCATGTAAAGTTGGTGGTCTAAAGAAATAGCCTTTCTTCAGATCCTCTCTTCTGGTGGTCTGTGTTCAGTCCTGTGGGAAAGTAGATGATGTCACAGCTCCCATACTCATTTGACCGAGAGTCCTTTCTGGTGTGCCACCTGGAGAGACTGGAGTTCAGCTAGAGGTGTGTCTCATGAACATGTGTTTGTAAGTCACAGTTTGACTTATCTTTGAGGCCAGAGTTTAGGCCACAAAAATTGCTTTGAGCGCCTTTCAAGTGCAGTTGTTTCTTTCAGTGTGGAGGGACAACCCATGTGCTGCGGCTTAGTTGGTCACCTGATGGCCATTACCTGGTATCTGCCCATGCCATGAATAACTCTGGCCCCACCGCTCAGATCATTGAACGAGAGGGCTGGAAGACCAACATGGACTTCGTAGGGCACCGGAAAGCTGTGACTGTTGTGGTGAGTGTTCCTCACATCAGAAATCTTGGCTGCCATGAGTACCATCCTAAGCAGCCTACTGCAGTGGCCTACATGTGCCTTCAGCGCTTAGGGATTAGAATGCCAGGTTGCCTAGGAAGCCTCCCTAAAACTGTGTCACATGGGAGACAGAGGTGATAGGTTCTGAGAGTCAGCACATGTTGGTACTTCTTTCATTTTAAATGTTTAAACATGTTAAAGCTATTTTTATAAAATGGAATACATATGTGCAATTGTTTTATTCTTGGCAGATTCCAAAATGGTGCGTGTGTTCCAGATCATTCTTGGTTAGGGACATTGTAACTTAGCACTAGCCTTTTACGTGTTCAGGTCTGCCCATAGGTGTTCCTTTGCCCAGTTCCAATGAATACAAATCCATCTGGGCACCCCCCTGGGATAGTGTGCTTGTCCCGATACCCCGTATCAGTGTAGTTGACAGCCTGTGCTGGGGGTTGCTAACATGTACATCCAGTTTTTGCTATTATTTTATGATGTTGGCTCTGGAGCCCAGGGCTTTGTATGTGTTGGGCAAGTACTCCAGTACTGAGGTATAGCCAAGCCCATGTATCTTGACATAGGAGATAAAGAAGGCCAGAGAGTCATCACTCATCTTTCAGGCTTGAGAGAAGATCCTCCAGTCTGGGTGACCTTAATTAGAGTTGCTTGAGAAGGCCCAAGGCAGGCAAATAACCTATTAGAACTTGGAGTAACCAAACAAAAATAGATTGATAATTATTTGATGACAGTGAGGGATCATCCAGAACCTGATCAAAATGGGCTTTTGATTGCCTATGTTTTAAACTGATCATAAATAAGTATAATACATTTATCTTATAAATTTTAAAATATTTTTATTTTCTTATTTTTATTTTATGTGTATGAATGTATTGCCTGCATGTATGTAAGTGCACCTGTGCAATACCCGTGGAGGTCAGAAAAGGGCATCGAATTTCCTGGAAACGGAGTTACAGATGGTTGTCAGCTGTCATATGTGTACTGGGAACCAAACTCAGGTCCTCTGCAAGAGCAGCCAATATTTCTAACCACTGAGTCATCTTTCCAGCCTTATACACTTTATAAGAATAAAATAGAGCCGGGTGTGGTGGCGCACGCCTTTGATCCCAGCACTTGGGAGACAGAGGCAGGTGGATCTCTGTGAGTTCAAGGCCAGCCTGGTCTACATAGCAAGCTCCAGGACAGCTGGGGCTACAGGAAGATCCTGTCTCAAGAAAGACAAA